GTTACTTATGGTAAAAATCAGGTTCCGTTTAGGATCGCTGACACTCCGGTAAAAGCTGTAACTTTGCACTGTATCATACTCTCAAAAAATCCTATGGGGAGGCAGGGAAGGTTGCTTTATCAAATTCCTCTAGTTGGGGTCTTGTGAGTGGGGTGAAACTCTTAGTAATGTGGCATTACAGCAGTTGTGAACATCTTGCTTTACAGTGCCTCGTCTAATGACAGTTAGTAGCACTTCAGTGGTTACTGATGGCAAAAGATAGGCAGTAACAGAAAGAAGAATAGGTGTACCTTAAGAAAAATATAAAAACTTTTCTAGGTAAAGACTGCCCTGTTGGCAGGATACTTGTACGTTTATCAGGCACTAACACTTGGTGAATGGAAAACTATGGGCGTTTTAAGCCTGAGGTATAATGTGCTGATAGTTACATGGGATCAAATTTATCTAGATTTGTGTTTTACAGTGTTATAATAGAAGGCACAAGAGTAAAGAAATCATATTTCAGAAGAGATCTGGTTTGAAGTGTGCATATGCACAACAGTATTGGATTTTTATTTGAAAGTTTATGCTTTTTTAAGACATTTTAATATAAATATGGTCTGTGTTCTAGGAGCTGGGAAAACAACTCTTCTAAATTACATACTGACAGAACAGCATAATAGAAGAATAGCAGTTATTCTGAATGAGTTTGGAGAAGGTATGTAAACCTGCAGAAACTTTTATTTTAGCCATAAAATGACAAATACATAACATTTCTGGAAATCAAGGACATAGTAATTTTAAATCCATTACTGAAATTATTGACATACCTCATAGCCTTTCAGAAGGGTAAAAAGTCTTTTGTCTGGTGTTCATAAAGTAATACTACGCATTAATCAGTTCTGTACTGATTAATGCGTACTGGTTCAGACCCTCAGAGTCAAGTAAATGAATATTGCACCTTGTTGGAAGTGTTGTACCTCCGTTTGTCCTACTTGGTTTCAGGCAAATGGAAATTAAAATAACAGGGTGGTAGATAATTCTTCTCTTCCCTTTCCCTCAGCTACTTACAAGTCAGAAATTATTCTAGATCAGGAAAATGGGGAGCTCTGTGCCTGGTATCTGTGGTTCTTTGAACTCGTCACTTTCCTTCTCAGGATTTTAACTGTTAAGGCTGTTATTTTGTATCTGTATCATAGTCAGTGCTGCTTACAATTTGCACTGTGTTGGTGATGTGTGTTTGTTTTCATTGACAAAGATGCAGGCCACTTTTCTGGTCATGGAACCTAAAATAACATGTATAGACTAAGGCTTTAACGGATATGGAGGTAGAGGCTGACTTCCCTCTCTTTTGGCAAAATGTGTGGTACTTATGCTGTAGTTTCATCCTCTTGTGTTTTGGTCTTTGTAGAACCAACTTGACTTTGGCTTTTAAATTTCTCGAAAAAGGGAAGGTAATAAATTCTGAAGAACATTTCAGAAACATGAAGGGAAAAAATATAATGGAAGAGTAGAAATGTACACCAGCTCGAAGATTTCGTATCTCTTTTGCAGGCATCGTCATGCAAATGTGTAGACTGAAATTATGCTACTTCTGTTTCCAGGAAGTGCCTTGGAGAAATCCCTGGCAATCAGTCAAGGGGGAGAACTCTATGAAGAATGGCTGGAGCTCAGGAATGGCTGCCTGTGCTGTTCAGTGAAGTAAGGAAGGACTGTTGTGCAAGTTCTCACAGTAGTTTTTAGGGGAGTTGAGGAAAGGAGAAGACATCCAGGATCTGATTCCTAAAACTCACGGTAGTACTGATTGAGACTTGGTTTGTCAGACAGAGCAAGAATTGGTGTTTGGAAGATACACATTTATTTCCGTTTCCTGCCTGACTGGATTTGGACTTGGTGTCTATCAGAAAATACCAACTTCCACACCATGGGCCTGTTGTAGGGTACAGAGCGCTCCCTATTCTATCAGGATTATATGCTTTTATAGGGGGGAGAGAAAGCTTCAGGGAGGATGGAACTAGGACTTGGTTTCCTAAGTTCCACATTAAATACTTGCTTTCTGGTTCTGTCCCTGTATGTTGGTTAATACTCGAATATTTTATACCTCAGAAAGGGTGGAGGGAAAGCTCTTTTGTGACCTAATGACACACAGGATTCTGAACTGTAAACTGATAGTCATATAAAAACAGGATTGTAGTTGTTTCTTTGACATATTTTTACCCTGTTTGTTTGAATGCTGGATTGTTTGTGTTGATTTTATAATAAAGAAGAACTGGTCTTATGCTTTAAGCTGGGATAATAAATGGAAAACAGAAGACCCTATTGCATTGTGTTTTACTGGGATATAAGGAAGGCTGCCATTGCTGTTTTCTTTCGTATTTGTTAGTTTCTTATATAAAATTCTATGCATATTTGCTTCAGGCTGACTTCATCAGCTGAGATTCAAGAAAATGACACATCTTAACTTTGCTGTAGGTGAGGTGGAAAGACAGGAGAACATGGTTCTCTTCACCCAATCCCCTCTACGCTCTACCTTTCTTTCTGTAATCTCAGCTGTGAAACCAAATATTACATATTTACATAGCCCTATTGTCCTTTACAGGATTTTCAGTGTTTGAAAATGAATCTTCATTTAAATGCCCTCTATTATGCCTGTTAGGAGTAGGCAAATACATTTTTCAGACTAAAATGAAACAGAAGACTACAGCTTGGCTAATAATAGAGGAGCAACTTAATGACTGAGTTTCCATCGTAGACTGTAAGTCCTGACTCAGGCCTTTGCTTTGATGGTACTGACACTGTTCTGCTTCAGAAGATATGTGTTTATATGTGTGTTAGCTTGTTTTCTCTGTTCTCATGTTTAATTGTTCCTTCTTGCAGGGACAATGGTGTGAAGGCTATTGAGAACCTGATGCAAAGGAGAGGAAAATTTGACTACATATTGTTAGAAACAACTGGTTTGGCAGATCCAGGTAATTCACATATTATACAATATACAATAATATACAATACATAACAACTATATGTTATGAAATATATAGTTTCATAACAATGATAATTATGCTGTTTTTATGAAATCCTTATTTCCTTACTGTCAGCCCACTGTGCAAAATGTAAGGTGGTCAGCTGTTGTGCACGTGCTTTGGTTGATACATGAACTAAAACTGAATTATGTGAGAAGCAGAAGCAGGGCAGTGGATGAGGTTGTTCAGCTGGGTGTTTTCTTTTTTTTTTTTTGCACTTGTTCTAAATTGACTCTAAAGCTTAACTGAAATCCAGCTAAAAATATATTTCTATCAAAAGAAGACATGGGGCTTGGGCATGAGCAGTAGACTTTGAAGCTTATAGTTTTTAGTTGGCTTTTGGTGTTCTACATTGCTCCTTCTAAAGTATGAATTACTAGCATCTTGTGTATTGTTACATTGGTTGTGATGGCCTAATACAGACTAATACATTCTTCTGGTAGCTATAGAAGAATAACAGACCTTATAAATTCACTTTTAGTGATGTTTATTATAAAAAGGTGTTTAAACTCGAACTCATGTTAGTAATAGCTGTCTAAAACAATTTCCTCTGAACCATCTCAATTAAAAATGTGTTGTTGATAGAGGGTGAAGGAAATTCTTATCAGAAATTCAATTGTTTTCCATTTAGGAGACTGACACTTTCTAGTTGAAAGTTAAATATTTGTCATGGTGAAGTAATTTTCTTCAAAAGACAGGACATTGATCTGGCCTCTGTTACACACAAATTCTATTTGAGTCAGATTGGAAAACTATTAAGCTTTTTGGAAAAAAAATCAATAGATATCAGAGAACCCTTAGATGCTGTGGCCTTTGCTGTGTCTTGCATGAGTAAGCACCGTGAACAACTGGCAGGTATTTGGTGTTGATACGCAGTGATGTTTGGAGGATAGCATCTTGTCACTTCAGGTGGACAGTTTTAGGTGTTAGAATGAGTTTATTTACTTAATTTTTTTTTTTCTCTTCAGATATTCTTAATAGTCTTTGACAGTCTGCCAGTAACTAAGATCACCTATCAGATCCTTAGATGTGATAACTGAAAAACAAGTACTGTCATTGCTGTCAGCTCCTCCTGTCCTTCATATTGCATCACTGATACAAGTTAAATTGGTGTGTTTCATAATGAAGTCTGATTTAAAAAAAAAAAAAACCAATACCAAAACCAAACACAAAACCACACAGCACATCCTACAGTTGCTAGAATCTGTTTTACAGGGCCATTTTAGCAGATGGCAGGAGTTGCATACTCCTAGGACATGCTACTACATAGATACCAGGTCAAAGATTCTGTATCTTTAAGGTAATGTGGTCGCAGTTGTACAAATACTTGCTGATTCTTTTTGCTTAAGACCCACCTGTTTTACATCCTGAAGAAATGCAAGTGACTATACAAAGAAGAGAGGGTACTACATGTTTTATCATTCCAGAAGCACCATATCTGAATGGAAATTCAATAGGTAATGAGGTGTAGCAGGTAAAACATACTAGAATCATATAATCATAGAATAATTCAGTTTGGAAGGGATGTTAGGAAGTCTTTAGTCCAGCCTCTAGCCCAGAGCGGAATCAGCCATAAGATAAGATCAATTTCTTTGGGATATTCAGTCATATATCTCCATCATCTGAGGATAAATGTGACACAGCCTCTCCAGGCTACTGGTTCTGTACCTGCTTTTTCGTAGTGAAAGAACATATTTGTGATATATGTGGTCTGAAACCTGCTGACTTCAGCTTAATTTAGTTGTCTCTCATCCTTCTGCCACAGCCTGACCGGTCTTCTCAGTGACTAACCAGGAGGTACCAGGGAGGCTGCTGTTAGGTTCCACAGAAGCTGTCCCTTCTCCAGGCTGAGTAAATTCAGTTCCCCTGCCTCTCCTTGGAGGGTCTGTATTCTGGCCTCAGCTATCTGGATGATCCTATGCTGATGTCTTTCCTGTATGGGGGATCCCCATGCTGGAAGTGCTAGCCAGATACGGGCTTGGAAGTTCTAAATAGAGGAGAATAGCCTTCTTCAGACATGCTTCTGTTCCAGCTCTCTGAAGTTGTTTTGGCCTTCTCTGATCCCAAGGCATAGTGCTTGCTTGGCTTGCTGCCTGCCAGAACACCCAGGGCTTTCTCCATAGACCTGCTCCCCAGCCAGTCTGTCCCTAGCTTGCGCCATTGCCAGGGGCTCTTTTTTTCATAAGTGCATTACTTAACATTTTTCCTTGATGAGTTTCATCATGTTCTTGTTGGCCATTCCTGCCTGCCTGGCCAGGGTCCCTCTCAGAGATAGCTCGGTCCTTAGGTATATCAGCTGTTGCTCCCCAAATTTGGTGTTCTCTGCAAACTTGACAGGCATGTCTTCCATCTTCTCCTGGGTTTGTGGTGGAGTGTCAAACAGGACAGGTCCCTGCAGCATCCTGGTTACTACCAGCTAGGGTATGACCCTGCAGCCTTTAGAGCTCAACTATCCAACCAGTTTGACATTCAGACTGGTAACGTCTCGGCTTGGTTACTACAGTATCTGTGAAGACAGTGTTGAAAAATTCACTAGAGGTGATACAAACAGCATGCAGTGCTCTCCCCCTGCTCAAAAATGCAATCATTTCTTCTAGCAGAAGGCCAGGTGTAGCCTTCCCAGATTGACCAAGCATGATTTAGTCACGTAAACTTCTCTTCCAGTGCAATACCTGTTTGCATATTGAACTGGCATTAGATATTTCTTTAAATTAACCAAAGCCAGAAGCTTTCCTGTGCAGACCTGAGATAATTAAGGAAAACATTATTTTCTATAACCTATTCTTGACTTTCTTCATCTTGTTGATGAACTGATGTAAGCAACTGCATGGGAGAGTTTATAGAAGCCAGTGAAGAAGATAAGGTCCTGATCTGATTATTCTAAAATGTCCCAACTCCCCTTTTCCTTAACCGTTTTATTTTTTTTTAATCTCCTTTTTTTGTGTGGCTGTGTATGCCACGACCTAGAAACAGGAGCTGAAAAGTGAAGAGAGCAAGTACAGAATTTTTTAGAAATGGGGAAGCCTTGGAGTATAGTAATGACAGACATTTGATATTACTGAGTAAAATTAATTAAGACAACTTATGTGCATCTGGAATTGGAGGCCTCATCCCTGGGGACATTCAAGATCAGGCTAGATGAAAC